GTCTGATGCCCTTAGATTGTTCTTTCTTGGCACTGCATTGTGCGTGTGTGCACACACACACAGTCCCCGTGATCCTGGCCCAGGCACTTCAAAATCTACCTCCTGCAAGAAGGCTCTGATAATTTCCACCCAACTTTGATCATTTTGTCAGCTTCCCTCTGAGCCTTAGGAGCTGCCCTCAATCTCTTCTCTATTCTGTTGCTTAGTTATGTCCTGTAGTATTTTCAACCCCATAGATTATAAGCTCCTTCATGGCAGTGATAGAATCTTTCATTTGCTTATTTAATAAAATCTCCTTATTTTGAGAAGGAAGCATGAGGTAGGACACTCCAACTTTGGAGGCCATGTAAACCTGGATCTGGATTCCAATACCGGGCTGTTTGGCCTTGGGCAAGTCTCTCAACCTCTCTGAGCCAGTTTCTTCATCTATAAAAGTCGCTAGTGATACTTACTTTGCAGAACGAGGGGTAAAGACTACACAGAGACTACAAAGGGCCAAGAAAGTGCCTATTGCATAGTGATCAGACAATGGCTTGTCTTCCTTCCCTGTATGGTTGGAGCCTTTCCTGTATTGGGGGACAGAGTTCCTTAACTAGTCCCCCCCCATACTGGAACACTTTTAAGCGTGAAAAAGGATACTAGTAATCATTACACCGGTTCCACAGACGAGACCCGGAGCGCAAGGCCATCCTACCCTAAGGCACAATGACGGGTGAGGGCAGGGTTCGGATCCCCAGCCGCCGTAGCCCAGCGCCTAAGCAGGGCGCCAAGCAGAGCTCCAGCTCAATGAGCGTTTGTTGAATGAGCAGAACCGGTCCTCCCCTCAGTTTCTTGGAGCAGCAGCGAGTGGAGAAACAGATTGAAAAGCCCGCCCCCGCCACCTCCCCACCCCCACCCGGGTCCCAAAGCCTCGGGTAGCCTCCTTTCTCTAAGGTCTTCTCCCGCCCGCTTCCCCGCCCTCGGTTGCCTTGGAAACAGTGACGTGTATGTGAGGGGCGTGACCTCTCTCCATCCTCTCCCCGAGTCCCTGGCCCCTTCCTACCCCGACCTGGGGAGAAGATGAGATTCGGGTCCTCGACCCTACTGTCCGCCTCCGGGCCTGGAGTTAACCACACCCACCTGGCCGCCCCCCTCCCGCAGGCGCGTGGCTCGCTCGAGGGCGGCCACCCCACCCCCAGCCCACCCGGCGCCGGTGAACTGGCTGGGGTCCGGAGAATGCCGGCTTCAGCCTTTGGGATCCACTTCCACCCCTTCACCCCCGCCCGGCCAATGGATCCCGAGAACGCGGGCCGGCACTCGGCCCAGGCCCGCCCCTTTCCGGACAGCCCTAGGGCACGCTCCGCGTCCTGGGGGGTAGGCGGGAAGGGTGGGAGCCCAGGGGGCGCCGGGGCTCCGCGGACTGCGGGAGGGGAGGGGTTAAACAAGGTGCCGGCGCCGGGCGCGGCGGGAGTGGGGGAAGGGAGCGAAGGGAAAGTGAGAGCGGGGGCGGGTTGGGGGGGACGGGAGCGAAAGAACATCCTGTGCCCGCCGCCGGATGCGCGGCTGGGGAGGAGGTAGTCCGGGGAGGGGGGGCAACAGGGGGGAGGCCCGGGGCGGGGAAAGGCGCGGCCTCCGCCCCCCCACCCGGCCCTCCTCCTCTGGGGGCGCCGCTCCCAGTGCTTTCGTCGCGTTTCTCCCCGTCCCTATGTCTTCGTTGGAGTAACGAGCTGCCCAGAGGCCCCCGATTCTGGTTCCTAGGCCAGGGTAAGCGCCAGCTGGGGAGGGGACGGTCTCGGAGAGTGTGGGGTCCACGTCAGGGCACGGGTGGCACCCCCAGCCTTTCGCCTCTCTACTTTCTGGCTTTCTACGGGGGGTGGAGGGGGAGCTTGCAGGTATGGATTGCCCCGCCCCCACCGGTTCACCGAGAGTCACAACATACGTTCTTTCCTTCAGTCTGACAGCCGCACTCCTGTAGGTGTCTATAGACCCGTATTCCGGAGGAGGAAACTGAGGCTCAGATTATGGAATTTGCCCAAACCCAAGCCCACAGGGACTCCAGTGAGCTTTTCACTATAGAGTACGCTAATTTCCCCTTGGCTTGTCCTGTGCATACAAGCGCCGCCCCTCTCCAGAATCACCCACCGTAATGGCCTAGCACTGTGTCTTGCACGGTAGGCCCCCAGTAGCGTATTAGGCTTTTCTAATTAACTAGGCTGAAACACTCATTACCAGAGCTGGGAGTTTGAGGTTTCATAGGTGGGGAATGGGCTGGTAAGTATTTGGGGGGAGGGCTTCAAAGAGGGCTCCAGAGTTGCTCAAGGCAATGAAGTGGATTAGGGTTGTGGAGATTGATTAGTCTGAAGAAGAGCAGAGTGGGAGGGGTAGACCAGAAGAATAATGTGTCTTTCAGGTGTCATTGAGGCCCACCATCTGTGTGCTCACTGTTTTCCCACACCCAACATTTTTGTCTAGGTGAAACCTGCTTGTAATAATAATTATTACAGTTGACATTTAATGGGCTCCGCATACTGGGTACTCTTTCAAGTATTTAATCCTCACAAACAACCCCATGAGGCAGACATTATTATTCCCATTTTACAGGTGGGGAAAGTCAGGTACAAAGAGCGCAAAGCTAAGTGGCTGAACTGGTTATGAATCCTGGCAGTCTGGCGAGAGCCCACACTCTCCTTCACTAAAGTAAATTGCACTTACCGTGATGGCAATATCAGCTTTGAATGTAGAAAGCCAGTGCACTTGACAGAGGTGTGCACTCGGGCAACCCAGGTCTTTTTGCCTTGGTGAGGACAGGTAAGAAACTTGGAGGCTGACTGTGTGTATATGGAATCTCAGACTTCTCTCTAGTCAGTGATTCCAGATCTTTGAATTTAACAGAAAAAACAAAGCAAGAAAACAAAAGCCACGTTTCTCAAAGTTGCAGCTTTATGCACCATAAGAACACTCAGAACACAACTATCATCTGTTAGCACCATCATTTCATAAAAGCAAATGCATTTTAATTCTCAAAATAAGAAAGACCTCATCTAAATCAGAAGCAGTCATTCCCGAGAAGGGACAGTCATTGACTTCACACCAACAAATGGACTTCCCTCTGTGTTTTTTCCACTGTGCTGTGGACTAATGAAATATCACTTTGGGGATGGCCTCGGCCTCTTCATCCCTCTGCATCACTTGAGAACAGAACCAAAAGAAGTGGGCTTTAGGTGTAGCAGGAAGGAGTTAGGCTAAAGCCAAGAAGGAACACTCCCTTCTTTGGAAGCTTTTAAAGAACAGGTGAGCACTGCATTTGCTTAGGAAACGAGGGTTGCAGAATCAAGTCCATGGACTGGAGAGGTCAGCAGCTGTGGTTCCTACCCCAGGGAAGGGTGGGAACCTTGTTCTGAAGGAGCTATCCTCAGATCCACTAGGGTAGCCTTGGAACCTAAAGCAGTCCCATCAGGCAGCCATTTCCTGCCTGGAGTTCACGGGGCATGACAGGTGGTTCTATGGCAGCAGGAGGCCTCCATGGCCTCTGTTACCCCTCCTTGCAGGGTCCATGTAGTCACCCACCTTGGGACTGGGTAGAGTGCTACAAATGAGCTTGAGAAGGGCCAAGGACAGTAGATAGGAAAGGAAAAGAACAGCCACCTGAGAGTGTTGCCTACAGCCTGGGGTGTGATGGGTGAAGGCTCTGAGCAGTCAGGCCTGGCTGGCTGCAGCAGCCTTGAGGATGCTATTTTTCCATCTCCCCGCCTCCTTCAAGCCCAGGTGTAGCCCATGACCTAGAACCTTCCAACAGGAGCTCAAAGCCAGGCAGGTGAAGACCTATTCTGGTACATTGATGCTCCATGCTGGCTCTGGGCCTGAGCCTGGCTCAGGGCCTGTCACCTCCCTGTTCTGTATGAGGAGGCGAGGCACAGGTATGGGGACAAATGGGGAAGGGGAGAAAGAGAGAAGGGTCTGCTCTCACCTGCCCCATTCTATTGGGGGAGACCAAGTCCTCCAAAGCTGGACTCTCATGTTTCTGGGATGGTGGCATTTTCTGACTCCACAGGAGGCCTTCAGGCCTCATCTAATCCTGTAGGGATGGGGTGCTGGGCACTGGGGTGCGGGGCACTGGACTGTGGTACTCCCAGATTTAGGCCCCCATCATGTAAAGGCATACATCTACCAAAATTGTAATCCTGGAGTTATAGAATGGTAAATATGGATCCCCCCAGGTTGCAAACAGTCACAGATTGTGACCCAGGCAAGGGCAGTCCCTCCTCCAGGGTCACACTGGTTAAATGGGCCTGGAGCCCCCATAACCAGATTCCTCAAGTCCTCAAAGAATGACAGAAGTCATGATTTGGGCACCTACTAAGTGCAAGACTCTACCTGATGTTGGAGATGCAGAGAGAGCTGCCCTCAAGACCTTCTCGCCAGACAGGTAGAACCTACCCACTACAGGGGAACTACAGTTTCTGGAAGATGATGGGTTTGCCTGAGGATGGCAAAACTTCATAAAGTGCTCCCCTTGATGGACGGAGGCCCTGCCTGCAGAAACACCCCGAGGCCCAGCAGTGAATCTGTGGTGAAGAAATCAAAGATGGGAGGCCAGAGACTGAGAGAATGATGTTGCCAATGGGCACATCCCAAACACCCCTCCCAGAAACTGCCAAAGGAACGAGCCCAGAAATCGGGCCTCTGCTGCCCTCTAATGGAGGAAATCAGCCTTTAGAGCTGCCTGCTGGGGCCCAACCAACCTGGCTTCCCTAAAGAAAAGGGGATGTGAAGGACCTTCCTGCCCCCCCAGACTTTTTATTCCCATAGTCTTGAGCTTCATTTCCGACAGCCTCTGAAGCTGAAACTTCTCCCCTTCCCAGCACTCCTGGCTGCCCCATTTCCTGTCACCGCCCTCCATCCCGTTTCCCCAGTTTCCTTTGTTGCCCAGGTTCTGATTCTGGTATCTTGGTTCCTGGCCCTGCCAGAGTTCTGGTTCCAGAAGGCCCTTGCCAGGTGCCTTGGGCCTAGCTCCCACCCGGGCGCAAGGTCACACTGAAGACATGGGTATGAGCATCCCCCAGTACCTGGGGCAAATGGACATCCGAAAAGGTGTAGTGGGCTTGGCCACAGGTGCTGGGTTCATCTACCTGCTCTACAAGGCCATCAGGGCTGGTATCAAATGCCAGCCGCCCCTCTACACTGCCTCACCCATCTGCATCGCCCGTGAGTGTACGGGCCCTGGGGAGAGGGCTCTGCCCCAGGAGGCACCTGCTCCCGAGGCCTCCAGTGTGGGAGGGCCCAAAGGTGACTCCTCCAAGTTCCTCTGTCCTTTCTTCCTCTTCTCCATCTTTCTCAAACCCACCATAGAGATGCTAGCTCAGAGTCCCCAGGGAGTAGGTGGCACTCGAGTGGATCCTCAGGACTCATTTGGCAGGTCTCCAGATTCTGCCTTCACTCTAGCTCCCAGGATGCTCCTGCTTGGAGGCTTGGCATTAGCAGTTCTCCCTAAGGGAAAATTGGGCCACCTGCATGCCCAGAGCCTCCACTAGTCCACATGACAACTTTGTGCAAAGTAGAAAAAGGCACCCTTCTGCAAGACGTGTTATTGCCGTCCGTTGGGATATCACTGCCATGTACTGATTATGACGAAATAGGAGACATGACTGCCGTGGGCCAGAAAATTGTTATAGTAAATATTCAAAACTAGGACACTTATGATCTGAATGACACCTCATTAGACATAGCACCTCTCCTGCCACACACACGGCTCAGCTGTACTTGGTGGTCCTGCACAGAGCAAGAAGGCCTCTTCAGAAAAGGCAAGGCAGCCTTGTCCCCAGGTCCCTCTCCCCCACTTCCCAACCCCATTCTTTGATCACTTCTGAGTCCACAACCTGAACTGGGCTGGGGTGGCTGTCTAGGCCTGGCAGTCGAGCGAGAGCGGCACGGGCGGGACTCGGGTGAGCTCCGGAGGCTCCTCAACTCTTTGGAGTACAAACAGGATGAGTACGCCAAGAGCATGATCCTGCACAGTATCACGCGCTGTGTGTACTTGCTGGAGGCCGAGGTGAGGGAAAGACAGCAGGAGGTCCCTCCCAGCCAGCCCAACCCCTGGGGCTACACCTGATCCTTACCCCCTTGGCTGGCCAGACCCTGTCCTGGGACCTATTTCTCTGGCTGATGGCGGGAGGGCTGGTGCTGAGGGGTCTTGGTGATGTGGGGGGCAGTGGGTCCAGGACACCCGCTTCTCCTGCCTCTTCCATCTCTCCTGGCCCACTCTAGGCCTCTTCTTGTACTACTGATGACATCAGCTTAGTGGGCTCCATGCTGGATGACAAGGACAACAGTGTCAAAATCCAAGCTCTGAACACACTTAAAGCTTTTTCTGGCATCAGAAAATTCAGGCTTAAAATCCAGGTGAGCCCAGAGGCAAGTGGCGGGGTAGAGCACACAGGATGTCCGTAGTCCATGGGTTTTTTAATGGGCATAGGATAAATGGTCGTGTTCCAGAAGTTGTTTGGGTCTGTGTTTGTAATCCAGAAATATGCTTTTCTTTTTTTTTTTTTAAAGATTTTATTTATTTATTTGAGAGAGAGAATGAGATAGAGCGAGCATGAGGGGGGGAGGGTCAGAGGGAGAAGCAGACTCCCCGCTGAGCAGGGAGCCTGATGCGGGACTCGATCCCGGGACTCCAGGATCATGACCTGAGCCGAAAGCAGTTGCTTAACCAACTGAGCCACCCAGGTGCCCCTAGAAATATGCTTTTCCTTGTAATTAAGTGAGACCCTCCTCAAGGGTCATAAATCTTTGAATCTCAGGCCGAAACTGAACTGGGGTGCTAGGAGTATCTCTGAGCCCCAAACAGCAGAAAGCACTGAGGTTCTTTCTGATATCAACTAATTCTACAACACCAATGGGGGTGTCCTACAGTTCAACTCAATTCTGACACTGCCTACCTAGGGTTAGTGCAGGTCCCACAGGTAAAGGACAAAGGACAGTCCCACAGACTGCCCCCCCCTTCCCATGCCAGTCACAAGTGCCAGTACATTTGGCTATAAATTTGGACTTCCTCCTCCAGTTTGGTAATTCACTGGAATGACTCACAGAACTCAGGAAAACACTTTACTTACACTTAACAGTTTATTATGAAATATACAACTGAGGAGCAGTCAAATGGAAGAGTCGTGTAGGGCAAAGTATGGGGACAAGGGTGCAAAGCTTCTGGGCCTTCTCTAGGCAGGCCACTCTGTTAGCACCTTGATGTGTTCACCAACCCAGAAGTTTGCTGAGCCCTGTCATTTAGGGGTATTTATGGAGGTTTCATTGTGTAGGCATGATTGATTAATCATTGGCCATTGGTGAGTGAACTCAATCTCTAACCCCTCCCTTCCTTCTTCAACCCTCTAATCATGGCTTGGCCTTTCCAGCCATTAGCGCCCCCATCCGGAAGCTGTCTACCATCCACCAAGAGTCACCTAATCAGCATAAGCTCTGGGGCAACTGAGAGGAGCTTATTATGAATAACAAAGGGCCCTTCTATCAGGCAATTGCAAGGATTTTTTTAAAAGATTTTATTTTAGAGAGAGAGACAGCACACAGGAGGGGCAGTGGGAAGGAGAGGCAGAAAATCTCAAGCGGACTGTTGTGCTGAGCTCCTAAACTCCTGAGATGGGACCTGAGCTGAAACTGAGTTGGATGCCCAAACGACTATGCCACCCAGGTACCCCACAAATGCATGGATTTTAGGAACTCTGTGCCTAGAACCAGGGACGAGGATCAGATATACCACCCCCTGTGCTGTGTTGGTCTGATACTTGGTGGCTGGGCCACAGATGCCTTCACTACCACCATGTAGAGAAAATATAAGCCACGAAATGTTCCCAGGCTTACCTGTTTCCACACCCATCCTTCCATGCTAATGCTATGAAAACATGGTTTTCTTCCTGTCTAGGGTCAATGTTAGTCTCAGTCCTGGATCCCATCCCCTTCTTTAATGGCCTCTCTCCTTAATTAGCGTCTTTGTCTGATATGGACTTCCCCCTACTCCTTCCCATTAGTATTCAACATGCTCTAATCCTTCCAATCTTAAAAAAGAACCCCCTTCCTTCCTTGACTTCCAAATTTCTCTCTAGCAAATGGTCTCTCCTGAATTAAAAATAAGTAAAATATTGAAAACTTACATTTTATATGTGTACAGTGGAAAGAACTATAAAACAAAATGCATGGCTGAGAAATAGAATGTGATCAACAAGTTAGATGCTCCCGATGCCCCTCCCCAATCCCAAACTCTCCCCCAAACAGAGGCAATTATTTCCTGCATGTTGTGCATCAATTCCTTGATTTTCTGTATAGTTTTGCCATATATTCAGGTATCATATTCCAGCAAGGCAAGGCAGATAATAAATGAATGGGCAAAATGTAGTTTGGGATGTTTTTAAGCTCCATATACCTGGAAGTATGCAGTTTGTATTCTGTGGTTTGCCTTCCCCCACCCCGCCCCGCAACATTGAAAGATTCACCTTTATTGGTGTGGATAGCTCTGTTTCCTTATTTTCCACCGCTGTATAGTATTCTACTTCATGAATATCCTGCAATTTTATTTATCCATTTGCCCATGGGTAGGCCCCGAAACTGTTTCCACATTGTGCCATGAGTGTTCTTGTACACATCTCCCTTGAGGATGTAGGAGACTCTCTAGGATTTGTATGCAGGAGTGGAATGGCTGGGTGAAAATATATGCCCAACTTTTCAAGAAGGATTGTATCAATTTACACGCTCTACCGGCTCTGCATGAGTGTTCCCGTTGCATTATATTTCCTCCCCCAAACTTGGTATTTTCACACTTTGATTTTTTTGCATCAAGCTTTTTTGGAGAGGGGCACCTGGCTGGCTCAGTCAGTAAAGCATGTGACTCTTGATCTCGGGGTCATGAGTTCAAGCCCCATGTTGAGTGTGAAGCCTACTTAAAAATAGAAAGGAAAAAAAAACTTTTTTGGGGGGAAAAAAGGTCTCTAGGTCTCCTCTTGCTGGCCATCTCTACTTTATCGCTTAAGTCTCTGAGTTTCCATAAGTCTGTAATTCTCAAACATATCAGAATTGCCTGCAGAGCTGGTTAAAAGTGAAGATTTCAGGGCCCCACACCTAGACAGTCTAGTTCAGCAGGGGAGCTATGTTTTTCACAAGCCTCCCAGGAGACTCTGATGCAGCTGGCCTGGGCAATACTTTCCCCAGGGTGTCCTGGGGACCTGATCCCTGTTCTCTCTCTGGGTAAAAGCAGCCACTCACTGGCCTCAGTTTTCATCTAGATGTGTTTTCCTACATCTCTGTCCATAGCCTGGGAACTCCTCCAACCCCAGGGCCAGTTGCCCCACTTAGACATCCTAGGGGCCCTCTAACCCAGCATGTCAAAAATGGACCTACCTTGCGCCCAATTCTCTAAGTCAGACCACTCTGTCCAAAGGGATCTGATCCCATCAACCCCTTGCTTGGTATTCCTCAGGGCTCTCAGCATAAAGAGCATGATCCTCCATCTCCTTGCCCCAGCCCTAGCCATTCACACTGTATGTTTCATGCTCTCCCACTCCCCGGCCCTTGCACCTGCTGTTCCCTCTGCCTGAAACACCACCCAGACTAACTCTAGAGAAAAATAAAGTCCGGCCACAAGGAAGCTGGTATGGGGCGGGTGGTACAGTTTCAAAAGAGAAAATCTTTGGGACTTAGAGCTTGATGAAGAGTTCTTAGAAATAACACCAAAAGCATGATCTGTAAGAGAAAAAATGGATACATTGGACTTCATCAAAACTAAAGACATACCTAGTGGAGGAACCTCTTAAGAGGATGAAAAGACAAGCTGCAGACAGGGAGAAAACATTTGCAGAGCACATATGTGACAAAGGACTCCTATCTATATCATATAAAGAGCTCTCAAGACTCAATATTTTTAAAAATCCAATTAGGAAATGGGCAAAAAACATAGAGCTACAGCACTGAAGAAGATCTAAGAGTTGCATATAAGCCCATGAAAAGATGTTTAACATCAGTAGAGATTAGGGAAATGCAAATTACCACCACAGTGAGACAGCACTATACTCCTATTAAATAGTCCAAACTCAAAATTTGTGACAATACCAAATGCTGGTGAAGATAGAAATGGGCTCTCTCGTATGTTGCTGGTGGGAATATAAAATGGTACAGCACCCACTCCAGAAAATAGTTTGGCCGTTTCTTTTAAAAATGAACTATCAGGGTGCCTGGGTGGCTCAGTCAGTTGAGCATCCAACTCTTGATCTCAGGTCTGGTCTTGATCTTGGGGTCATGAGTTCAGGCCCCTGGATTGGGCTCCATATGGACCCTACTTAAAAACAAAAAATAAAAAATGAAGGATACATTTATCATACAACTCAGCAGTTGCACTCTGAAGCATTTATCCTAGAGAAATGAAAACATGTCTGCACAAAATCCTGTATGCAATTATTTGTAGCCATTTCACTTGTACTAGTCAAAAACTGGAAACAACCAAAATGTCTCTCAATAGATAAATGGTTGAACTGTGCTAATCCATACCATGGAACCCTCCTCAGAAATAAAGGGGAATGAACTATTGATACAACAACTTGGATCTCAACGGCATTCTACTGAGTGAAAAACCAGTCTCAGAAGGTCACAAAGTAGGACTCAACATGTAACATTCTCAAAGTGACAAAAATATAGAGATGGAAAACAGATGAGTGGTTACCAATCGTGAGGGCTGGTTTTGGTGATGGGGGGAAATGTGACTATAATGGAGTCCCATGAGGGAGATCTCTGTGGTGAGGGGACAACTCTGATGGAATAATCTGTTGATAGCAGTGATGGTTACATGAATCCACATATATGACAAAATGACAAAGACTGTGCACACACCTTGTACCAATACTAATTTCCTAGTGTTGATACTGTATATAATTACATAAGGTTAACCATTGAGGGAATCTGGGTGAAGCGCCCACAGGATGTCTCTGGGCTATTTTTGCAACTTCCTAAGAACTTATTCGAAAATAAAAAGTGTGTTGCCTGTGACAGTGCTGTGGAGAAGAATGAAATAAAGATGGAGGATAAGGAAGGCTGGGTGGGGAGTGGCTGCCATCTTAAAAAAGGGAGTGGTTGGGGAAGGCCTTACTGGGAAGGTGACATTAAAGTAAAATCTTGAAGGAGGTAAGAGAGTGAGCTATGACTATCTGGAGGGAGAGCATTCTAAATAGAGAAAACAGCCTGTGCAAAAACAAGATAAGTGTGTACTTGGCATGCTCAAAGAATGACTAAGAGACCATTGTGATGTGAACCATGGGAGCAAAAAAGAGAATAGGAGATGAGATCAAAGAAATTGTGAGGGGAGAGCGGCAGAGCAGATTGGACCTTGTAAGCCACTGTAAGGACTTTAGCTCTTACCCTGAATGAGCTAGGGACTTGAGCAGAAGAGTGACATGTCTAACATGTCTGCTGTTCTGAAAATGGATGCAGGGGGGAGGATGGAAGCAGGGAGACAGGAGGCTATTGCAGAAGTCCAGGTGAGAACTGATGGTGGCTTGGAACAGGGTGGTAGGAACAGCTTGACTGTTGACAGATTTTGAAGGTAGAGCTAACGGGATTTTCTGAAGCACTAGAAAAGCAGTGTGAGGAGAAACAAAGTAGTTAAAGAGGACCACAGATTTTTGACCTGAGTAGTGGGAAGGGAGGTGTGACCAAAAGCAGAGACAGGGAAGGTGGTGAGAGAAACAGGTTTGGGGGCTGGGTATGTGTTAACTCTGAGAGGTCTAGCAAGCATTCTGGGGAAGGGGCGCCTGGCTGGTTCAGTGTACCCTGCAACTCTTGATCTCGGAGTTGTGTGTTTGAGCCCCACGTTGAGTATAGAGATTACGTAAATATAAAATCTTTAAAAAAAGAAAAAAGCATTATGGGAAGAAGTGGATTTGGCACTGGAATATATGAGTCTGGAGTTTTCCCAGAGAGGTCTGGGCTAGGGACAGAAATTTGAAAGGCCTCAGCATCAACAGTATTTAACACTGAGTCTGGATAATATCACTAAGGGAGTGAGGAAGATAGGGAAGAAAAGGTTGGGCAGAAGAACCAGGAAAGAAGTCTGTGGAAGAGAAGCCAGGTGCAGAAAGGAGGCAGGCGTGGCCAACTAGGTCAAGTAATGTTGAGAGTGTAAGTTAAAGGGAGTTGTCTACTACTGGGTTTGGGCTTGGGCATCATAGGTAGGGGGAGGGAAGAGTGAACTCAGAGGCTGGGATAGTGTTGGGGATCACCACATAAAAGCAGACCCTTCTCCCCCTACCCCTTCTACCTCCCAGGAACATACCATCAAGGTACTGGAACTGGTCTCCACCATCTGGGATTCGGAACTGCATGTTGCCGGCCTCAGACTCCTCAACAGCCTCCCACTGCCTGACTATGTACATCCACAGCTGCGACGGGTGATGCCTGCCTTGATGGAGATCCTGCAGTCAGAATATATCCTGGCACAGGTGCCTAAGGACCATGGCCCAGGCCCTTCCCCTTCTACCAGTGCTGGCATAGCACCTAGAGGGAGGAGCAGAGATTTGTGCCTTCCCTGCTCAGGCCCACATTTACCTGCCTTCTCATGCTTTACTCTTCCTTTTATTTAGGTGCAAGCCACACGATTACTGAGCTACCTAGCACAGAAGAACGACCTTCTGTATGATATTCTCAACTGCCAGGTGAGAAAGGAACTGAAGAAGGATTAATGGATACCAACTCAGATACTGGGGAAGGAAGAATCATGGATTCCCCAGACAGACTTAGTCCTAACAAGATCATCTTGTTTCTCTTCCTGCCTTTGTACTAGATATATTGAAAACTATCCCCTCTTCGATTCTCCCAATAGAATGAGAATTCATTTTGTTGAGAGGGGGATTCTCCTTTAAGGGGCTCTCTGAACTCTGAGAGCCAGGAATCCAGGTGACAAAACAAAAGTAAATGTAGGTATTTTCATATTAGAGAAAAATTACTTATAACAAAAACCATTATTAGGAATAGACAGGGTCACTACATAATAACAGTTCAGAAGGATAAAGGATCTCTAAACTTCTATGAACCTAATAACATAACCTCAAAATTTATATGGCAAAACTTTTTTTTTTAAGATTTTATTTATTTGACAGAGCACAAGCAGAGGGGGAGAGAGGGAGAAGCAGGCTCCCTGCTGAGCAAGGAGCCCAATGTGGGACTCGATCCCAGGATCCTGGGATCATGACCTGAGCCAAAGGCAGCCGCTTAACTGACTGAGCCATCCAGGCGTCCCTATATGGCAAAACTTGATAGAATGACAAGGAAATTTTTTTCTTTTTTTTTTCAGTTTTAGTGAGGTATAATGAAGAGACAAAATTGTAAAATATTTAAAATGTACATAGTGGTGATTATATATATATATATATTGTGAAAGGATTCTCACCATCTAGTTGATTAACACATCTATCACTTCACATATTTATCTTTTTGTGTGTGAGAATATTTTAGTTTCTACTCTCAGCAAATTTCAATTATCTAATACAGTGTTATTAACTTTAATCACTATGTTTTACATTAGATCTTCAGACTTTATTCATCTTTTTTTTTTTTTTTTTTTTTTTAAGAGAGACACAAGCGGCAGGGGGAGGAGTAGAGGGAGAGAGAGAATCTCAAGCAGGCTCCACAGCCAGCATGGCTCCCAACACGGGACTTGATCTCAGGACACTGAGATCATGACCTGAACCAAAATCAAGAGTCAGACACTCAACCGATTGAGCCACCCAGGCATCCCCACACCTTGTTCGATTTATAGCTAAAAGTTTATACCCTTGTACCAAAGTCTCCCTATTTCTTCTACACCACCAGCCCCTAGCAACCACTTTCCTACTCTGTTTATGAGTTTGACTTTCTTTTTTTTTTTTTTTTTTTTTAGGTTCCACCAATAAGTGATACCATGCAGTATTTGCCTTTCTCTGTCTGGCTTATCTCACTTAGCATAATGTCCTCAAAGTTCATCCATATTGTCACAAATGACAGGATTTCCTTCTTTCTCATGGGTGAATAATTATAAGGAAAAATTGACACATCTACCGTCACAATGGAAGATTTGGGAGATGTATTTTTTCACCAATTAATAGATAAAAACCTAAAACCAGTAAGGGTATATTTACTGTGAATAATATAAATAAGCCTGAGCCATTAGACACATCTAGAACACTTTACAATTCATTAAGTGTATATTCCTCTCAAGCACACAAAATATTTATAAAAATCAGCCACATGCTAAGCTTTAATGTTTGACTCAACCAATTTCCCAGAATCAATATTATGATCCTATCTCTCATGTTTTATGACCACAGTGCAATTATGTTACAGAATGATAATGAAAGGAAAACTAAAAAATTCCTATACAGTTGAATCTGAAACTTAGGTGTACTGGGGAGTTGTGGCAATAGGAAGATGGAAGAAGAACCTCAGAACTTGTCTTGGATTTCTTTGTCATTGTCGCTCTATTCCCATCACAGGTGCACTCCAACTTCCTGAACCTGTTTCAGTCCACCCAGCCAGGGAGTCTGCTGTTCGAGGTACTGGTGTTTGCTGAGCGGCTAAGTGAGGGCCAGAATTCACCCCACTACCGTGTCGTGAAGTGGCATTACAATGAACAATCTCTTCATGAAGCTCTCTTTGGGGATGAGTCCCGACTGGCAGACCGGCTGCTCGCCCTGGTCATCCACCCTGAGGAGGAGGTTCAGATCCAGGCCTGCAAGGTCATAGTCAGCCTGCAGTGCTCCCAGGATGTGGGAGTCCGGCCCTCCTCCTGCCGGCCCAGTTATTCCTACTTTAATAGCGGGGAATAAAATTAAGGAGAGCCAATAAATGACTATGGGAGAAAAGCTTGAAGCAGTTTCTGTCTAGGGCCTTCCAGGGGCTGGGTGTAGATTTCATCCAGCATAATCCCTACCCAGAGCATGGCGAAGCATGGGCGCATCTCCCAAAACACATCCCCACCTCCCTGTTTTGGGGACAGATTGCCTTCTCCTCTTGCTGTTTGTCAAATTTGAGTGTGGAGCCAATGCTTTCAGGGAGTTTCAGAGAGAAGGCATGTTTGGGAACTGAGACCAAAGGTAATCAACAGGAGATGGTATTGCATTGGATTCCTCAGGATGGGCTAGGCTGTGCCACAGTAACAAACAACCTCCAAATCTTAGTGGTAAAAATGACAAGGTTATTTCTTTATCATAGCCTCTAGCAGGTCAGCTGGGGGTGGGGGACAGGTGTCTTTTCCAAATCATCTTCTCTCAGTGCCCAAGGCTGAGAGTGGCTCTTATTGTGTATCCTTAACTCCTAGAGAAGGAACAGGGAATGTGGTAGTGATCCCTGGCTCTTAAAAGTTACACCAGGAATGATGCTCACTACTTCTGCTCACATTTCACTAGCCAAAGGGGGTAGGGAAGATCAGTCTTACCATGTGTCCAAGGACGAACTGAAAGTATTTGGTGACAGCATTAATGACAGAGACTGCAGGCATACTGGAAGAGAGAGCTTTGGAATAAGACTCTCAGGTTCAAATCCCAGCTCTGTCACTTACTAGCTGTGTGACCTTGGGCAAGCCATTAACCCTATTTGGGCCTCAGTGCTCCCTTCACCTGTAAAATGAATATAATAATAGTACTTATGTCATGAGGCTGTTGGGAGGATTATATGGGGATTATAGGAATTAATGAATGTAAGACGCAGTGTTCTGCGTGCAAAGATCAAAGACTGAGAAAGTGAAAAATTAACAGTGGAAAGGTCCTTAGAGCACCAAGTCTGATGTTTCTCCAGTCTCTTTGGGTTACAGGCACTGGGGAGTCCCAGAACCCTCTATGAAGCACCCTGAAATGCCACTGGAACTTAGCTTTAGAAACCAGAGTGTCTCTGTGAGTAATATAAAACCATAACCGTGAAGTCTCCAGAAACAAGAAGACTGTCAAACAAAATATGGTCACCTATTTTCAGATTTTCCCGGTTTCACCTATTTTCATTGCATTTCCCACTTGTTCATTCATTGTGTTATCTGTGAGCCCTTGCTGGAAAACAAGCAGTAGTGGTTGCATCTGGTTTAAGAAAACATTATGGAGAAAACTCTAAAATTGGAGCTGTTCCATCTGCTACTACTTGATTCGGGAGGAAGAACATGTTGGCCCAGCTCTGGAACCCTGTTGTTCTTCAGAGGCAGGATTTAAAAACCACAGTCTAGTCCAAGGCCAACCCTGGCATTTTGCTGAAGGAAAAAACCCAAAGAGGGAAAGTGACTTGCTCAAGGTTACATGATTGGTCTGGGGCCGAAATAGGGTTAGAACCCCCTAGTCTTGGGCTTTTTGCTTTCCTATTCCTTGGCCTGGGCCCCATGGGAGTGGACCATAGATTCTAAACCAGAATCTGTGGTAGGTGAGAAAGACAGTGCTTCTGGCTCTTAGGGGTCCATTTAGGACTGAACTACTTGAGGATATTTGTCCCCACTGAATTCCTGACCCAGGACTTCATCCCTTGGGTGTGTTGGGGGAGGGTTGTTGATGAGGGTAGGCTGAACAGAGAGCCAGCCTCATCACCATCTCCCAAAGTTTGACTTGTCACCCTGAGTAGACATCACTACCAGATCTGAATCATCAGCCCTTGTCTTTCTCCTGAGTTCAGGCCTGAGGCTGTCCCTTCCTGCTTCTTGGATACACTGCAGTCACCCCAGTGGAACTTGTTAAAAGCCAACATCATCCTATCTACCCCTCATCCAGCTCCCTGTATTCCCATGTCACCAGCTAAGTATTGGGCATCACCTTCAACTCACCACATCCAACCAGCCATCCCGAACATCCCACATCTCTCCAAGTTCTTCACTTTCCACTGCTGCTACCCTATTCCCTACATCAGGACTTATGGGTATCATTTTCTACTTCTGTTCTCCATTTTCTCCAGCCCAACACATTCCAGGCTAATCTCAGAACCCCACATTGCATGATTCTCAAAAACATTCAGGGGTTTCCTACTGTCATGGTGAACTTCTTCTCAGCCCCAAAGCTAAGTCTCATGATCTGACAAGTATAATTATACTTACACCAAAAGTAGGTTGAGTTTTAGCTTCAAAGACATGGTCACTGGCCCCCTTTTTTAACATGATAGCACCAAATGAATTAGCTTTGTATTTAAAGTCCTTCAGGATCTGGTCGTATTGCTTGCCACTAGCCTACCATATAAAATCCCTTCTCCAGCCAAACTGGAGTGAACTAGTAGTCCCTGCTGACCTAATCCTACCACGTGTGGTCTTGCCTCTAAGCTTTTGATACAGTGTTCCTCCTGGCTACAGTGCCCTTCTCTCTTTTCCACTGGGCTGTGGAAGCTGCTGCCCATTGGGCGCTGCTTGCCTCTATGTGCTGCAGAAGCCTGGTGCTCAAGACCTTGTGAGTGCTGCAGGAGCCTCATGCCGGAGAAGCCAAGTATACAGCAGGTGCTGGGTGCGGGAGAAGCTGCAAATGCTGCAGGAAGTGGAGGCACTCTGCTTACATGACTGCCCAAGGTGGGTAGTGCCAGGAGAAGCTGCTAGCTGCTGGTGCTGCTGGTCGCTCCAGGCACCCGGCACAGGTGAAGGTGCTTGCTCTGCAGGAGCTTGCCAATTACACACACTAGAACCAGGAAGCAAAAACCTTTTCCTCCTGCAATGTCCCTCCAGCTCTCTTCCTCTTAGCAATTTAAAAGAGCAGTGGTAAGCATTTGTTAGCTCTCACAGGAATCCAGAAGCAATTAGCTGAGTGGTGCTGATTCGGTCAAGCTATGGTTGTTGGCAAACTTTTGCCCGGGGCTGCAGTTATCCAAAGGCTTGACTGGGGCTGGAGGATCCACTTTCAAGATGACTCATTTATTTGGCTGGCAAGTTGATGCTGGCTGTTGGCAGGAGGCCTCAGTTTCTGGCTTCCCCTAGAAGTGAATCATCCAAGAGAAAGCGGGGCAAAAGCTGCCAATAATTTTTCTGACTTAACTTCAGAAGTCATACATTATCACTCCACTACATTCTATTCATTAGAAGTGATTCACTGATAAAGCCCACATTTAAGGAAGGGAGAATTAGGCTCTTTTTTTACATTTAAATTTTTTTTTAATCTTTTTTTTTTTTAAGTAGGCTCCATGCCCAATGTAGAGCCCAACATGGGGCTTGAACTCACGACCCTGAGATCAAGACCTGAGCTGAGATCTAGAGTCAGACACCTAACTGACTGAGCCACCCAGGTGCCCCTAGGCTCTACCTTTTGAAGGGAAGAGTGGCAAAGAATCTGTGAACATTTAAGAACATTTAAGAACCACCCCAGGTGGCGTCGATCAACCAGGACTAATGGAATACCTACTGTGTGCTCAGCAGCTAGATGCATTTGTCTCCCCCTACAGAGGTTCGCTTTCAAAGAAAAGAGAAATTTCATAGCTGATAGTTGCCATCATATCTCTTCCCTCAGGCTTCCTCTCAGATGGTTAGCTTGTTTCTTTACCTTTTTTTACCTTCAGGTAATTACATTTCCAAGGAAATTTCCATCTTTTCTGTTGATTTTGAGAAGGCTTTATAGAAGAGAGGGGCTTGCCTTGAATCTCTGAAGAGGAGAGGGGAGGAGAGGAAAGAGAGGGAGTTCTCCAGGGTGGGAAACCTTTGGCACTTGCTACAGCTTCTCTGCCGATGGGTAACAGATTTCAAAATGAATGAGCAAGAAGCAAACAAATAATAATAGAAAAACAGAAATGTGATTTCTTAAAATAGTTTATGTATTGTTGTTTCAGATGCAGTGGCCTAGATACATACAATAGAGTGAGAAGAGGGAAGGAAGGCAGAGAATTTTACCAAAAAGGAAACTAATTAGTTTCCCTCAGATGGGACTATGGTAGGGGCTGGCTTGCTGGTAGATGACAGTTAGCCAGCCAGACTGCTAATTACAAGACAAGGGAACTTCAGCTGTCCCCACAAGATGACTTCCAGCAGGATCTTGGCACAGTGTTTTCAAGGAAACCAGACAGGGGTCCCTGGCTTTGTCCTAAGGCTTACAGCAGAGCCTCTCCTTCTCTCTCAACTTACATGTTACCACTAACTGCTCCCTGAGCTCAAAGCAATAAGAACTTCAGAGTTGCTGTTATGAGTGAAGAAACAAAGAAGAGAGAGGAGAGAGATTGATTTATCTTTTGTGAAATAGGAATCCTTTAATCATCAGCAAATATAACTTTTATATCTCTCCAATAATAATAGATGGCAAGTGTGGTAGACAGCCTCCTAAATGACCCCAGTGACCCCCACTTCCCAAATATGCCTTGTGTAATCTGCCTCCCCTTGAATGTGACCTGGACCTAGTGACTTGCTTCTAACCAGCAGAAGATGGCAAAGGAAGAGGCTTTTTTTTTTTAGAGATTTTATTACTTTATTTATTTGAGAGAGAGCAAGCATGAACAGGGGGAGAGGCAAAGGGAGAGGGAGAAACAGACTCCCTGCTGAGCAGGGAGCCTGACTCAGGGCTCAATCCCAGGACCCTGGGATCATGACCTGAGCCAAAGGCAGACGCTTAACTGACTGAGCCACCCAGGTGCCCCAAGACTGTTAATTTTAAGATTAGATTACAAAAGACTATGACTTCCATCTTGCTTCCATTCTGTCTTGCCTTTCGCTTGCTCATGCTCATGAAGACAGCTGCCATGCTACAAGCTGTCCTATGGAGAGGTCTATGTGGCAAGGAACCTGAGCAGGACTCAGGCCAAAGCCTGTGAAGAACTGAGACTGTCAGTCTAACAGCCTGCAAGGAACCAAAACCTGCCAACCGCCACTTGAGGAAGCTTGGAAACAGATCCACCCCAGTCAAGCCTGAAGATGACCGCGACCTCAGCTAACACCTTG